GTTATACTCGTTACACGTTATCACAATAGCTTCGTTACATTTTATCACGTTCCACTATTTACACATCTGTTCACGTACGTTGCTCGTCATATTAGCAGAACTTTTCCATCGTTTTACTCCTCTCACACTAAAACAAACTCACACATACAGTCACCCCCCACTCACCCACATAGCTGGCAGGGCTAAAATCTCTGCTCAGGGAGTCACAACAAATCATTCTCTATTTTCAGACCATGAGCCAACTTCCACATATTCCTACACCCCCCATGGAAGGATTCTCCTTCCTGCAAGCTCTGCAGGAGCACGGGGAGTACGCGACCTCCGTAATGACAGACGCAAACGCGCAGGTCACCCATCAATATATGCAAAACAGCTCATCAGCCGCCGCCCTAAACCCAATCTCTACTAGCGGATCACTGACATCAGATGCGCGCACAAGTAATACAGCTCCTCAGGGTGTCATAAACAGCCCACCATCTGGCACCTCACAGGGTTACATGGGTAACCCTATCCAGAGTCAGGTTTCCCTGCACGGCCAAGCGCCTTTGCACACCGGGAACCAAGAGGCTATAAGGGCAATGCTGAGTAACATGGGTTACTCTGCCCCGTCTCAGCTACCTTCGACGCAGGGTTTCATGGGTAACTCCGGACACGACCAGCCTTCCACGTCGTCGCAGGGTAACATGGGTTTCTCTGCCCCAACACGCTCTCCTTTCCCACAGGGTTACATGGGTAACTCTGGTTACATGGGTAACCCTGTCCAGTCACAAGTTCGTCAGTCGTCACAGGGTAACACGGGTTACTCCTCTAATCCCGGTCCTTCGTCCTCTCAGGTTTACATGGGTAATCCTGCTTCTAACCAGGCACAGTTTCAGCCACCCACTCACCTCCACGGCTTGGCTCAGGACCAGGGCTCTCAAGGTAAGAGTCACTATTCACTTTTAGACCAGCATGTCCCCAAGAACCTCAGGGAAAAAATCTGGGCTAAAAAGTTCCTGGATATGAAGTCGCTCCTCCCCCCTCTTCAAATACACTTACTTCTTCAGAAATTTCTACGCACCAACAACTCGTTACACAGCCCAATGTCGACGACGACGGGAATATTTCGTTTAAGTTGTCTCCTGTACACAAGCGTTCTTCTCCGATAACTCCGTATCAATGGCAGTGCGCATTCATCGTTTTTAGCATCATTCACCTTCAGCGATTCCCATCGGAAGCTGTAAGCCTCCTTCATTACGCAAACTGCATTCTTGAAATGCAGGCCAACAAATTCCCTAATTGACGTCGCTATGATGAGAAGTTCAGAGCACAGCAAAAGTCCCCTGGATTCAACTGGGAGGACCCTAACGGAGTTATATTGGCGGAGGTCACTTTCATTGCGAGACGTGATCAAGACCAAGTCTCACAATCGGCCTCCAGACCTGGCTTCTGTTTTCGCTGGAATGAGGGACAGCCATGCAACCCGCTCACGTGCCGTTTCCCCCACCAATGCATGGGCTGCAGGGGCAGTCACCCCCGTTCCTCTTGTCCCCAACTTTCGTCAAAGCCCTCTCCATTTAAAATTTCCCACCAACAGGATTTATAAGTGATAGCTTACTTTACAACAATTTTATAAGTTTATTTCGTTATAGAGCTCATATACTGAAATGCAAGGGTATGTACAACCAACTGACCCTTCAGGGCCACGACGCTACAATTACGTCAAAGATATACATACGTCTTTAGGAGCATTGACTTGACACTTCCCATCCACTGATTGCAGTGGTTTAAGCATTTTAAAAGACAGCATAGTTTTACAACAATTTCATACGTTTATATTGTTTTTGAGCTCAAAGGACTGAAACGCAAAAAATTTTTACCGTTTGTATGTGACTGATGAATTTTTAGATCTCATGGTGGTAGAAAGCAACAGACACAGCACAAACAATAAGACAAGCTGAAAGTAGAGGGCCTCTGAAGAAATATAGCCGGCTAAGGTCATGGTCAGATATAGACAAAGATACAATGAAACAGTTTATAGGGTTGCAATTGTTGACCGGGCTTGTTGACAAACCAACTATTGAATCCTACTGGGCCATGAATCCAATTATGTACTCACCAATGTTTTCTTATGTGATGCCACGTAACAGATTCCAGGAAATACTCCGCTTTTGGCATATAAATGACAATAACAATGAACTACAACGTGATGCTCCAAACAGAGACAGACTGTATAAGCCGCGTCCCGCCATTGAACATTTTCAAGGAATATTTGAATCAGTGTACACACCCGAGAAAGATGTTGCGATAGATGAATTACTTCTTCTCTGGAAAGGACAGCTCGTTTTCAAACAATATATTCCACTAAAACGAGCAAGATTTGGATAAAAATTTACAATGTGTGTGAGAGTTCTGGTTACACATACAGATTTCATATTTATGCCGGAAAAGAAGACCCTACCTACATGAATGAAACATCTATACCTGATGATGCCAAACATCTTACAATGACAGAGAAGGTAGTTGTGTTTATGACCCTACCACTACTTGATAAAGGGTACCATCTGTACATGGATAACTGGTACTCGGGACATCACCTGTACTTGTATATGAAAGAAAGGCAAACCGTCTGCTGTGGAACTATCAGGGAAAACAGATGTCCAAAGCCAGTCAGGGAGTTATAGTTTGAAAATGGTAAATCAAGATGCAATGCTTTGTATTACAAAACAATGTACTTGGACATGTTTTATGTAATAGATTTGCATGTATTAGTATAATGACTCAGCTAACTGTGTCTATTTCCACTTGACAGGTCATTTTCTGTCTTCACAGTTTATGTGTGTGATAGTCAGTACATTTCAATTTTTGTAATACAATAGAATTATGCTGACATGATTGTAGATACTAACTGCTTTCATATTCTGATAATAATCATGTATAAACATATATTTAAATGATACAAGTAATAGAACAATATATTTTATTTTTTCATAGGTTGTGGCATGAAAGCACTTCGGTCGGGACCAGTCTTGTACGTGAAATGGAAGTCAAGCAAAATTGTGTATATGGTTTCGACAAAACATGATGAAAGTACACGTATGGTTCACAGAAGGGGCCCGAAATGAACAAGTTGAGAAACCGAGTTGTGTTGTTTCATACAATTCAAACATGGGTGCTGTCGATCAAGCAGACCAGATGCTTCAGCCTTATGATGCCACAAGAAAAACACGGCAGTGGTACAAAAAGGTCCTTCTGCATCTTCTACAGATATCCTTGTTGAACTCTTACATTGTGTACAACAAGACTCCTGGTGTGAAAAAGCTGGATTTCTTTACTTTTCAACAGAGTGTTATCACAGATCTGCTGTTTGGTAAAAGTGTAAGAGCTCCAACAATGAGGCAGCTGAAACATGAGGATATGGTTAGTTTGAAAGAGAGGCATTTTCCACATAAAATTCCACAGACTGGAAAGTCCCATTCTACTTCAAGGAAGTGCAAAGTGTGTACCTCGAGAGGAAAACGAAAGGAAACATGTTATATTTGTGAACAGTGCCCCAGTAAGCCATCTTTGTGTGTGTGGCCGTGCTTCGAAATATATCACACAGTTAGAAAGTACACCGAGTGACCAAGATAGCTAAATGTATTCTGAACTACACCCAAGTGACCAACATAGATAAATGTATTCTGAACTATCAAATTGTGTTAAATAAAATGTTTAGGAGTTTATATATAAGGCTAAATACATTACTAAAAACAACAGAAAACTGTAAGGGAAATCACTAGTTTTAAGAAGTTTATAAGCATATATACATTGCTGAAAGTACTCTTGTCACTCATTTTCCTGATTATCCTAAATATTTTGTTCATTTATCATGTACAATGGTATTCAAAAGTATGATAATAATATAATAAAAGTAACAGGAAGTTTGGCAGTTCAATTATCTTTCAGAAAAGTATAGGTTTTATATGGTTTTTGTATAAATTACGGATAATAGAGTAGCAGGAATAATCATACTGTAATTTATTGGAAATTTCCTGGCAATACGGTATATATATAGGCAATTGGCGTTCTGGAAATGAATGGGTTAAAAACACTTTAAAGATCAAACCAAGCTGTGAAACAATTTTGCTTTCTAAATGAAGGTTTTGTTTTTTTTTAATTATTAAACTGAAGCTTTTGCATTTTTAAAGGAAGGACACATCTGGGGAGGACACCAGGTGACATAGACATAGTTAAGAAGATTCCAGCAAGATCTGACAAGTGGGCTAGGGAAGAAGTGGTCAATCTGTTAGAGATCTGGGGGAAGGAGGGTATCCAACAGCAGCTAGGAGGAGGGAGACAGAGAAACACATGTTATCTGGGGAATTGCTGACAAGTTGAGCCACGAGGGAGGGGGGGGGGGGGGGTTGAACGGACTGGGGAGGCATGTAGAACAAGATCAAGAAGTTGAGGATGCAGTACAAGAATGTGAATGACAAAAACAAGTAATTGATAACATATTAACTCACAGTACTCTGATGTGATAAGCACTAGTACTGTCTTTAAATCGGACTGTAAAGGCACCGCATAGCACTGATAATGACGAAGTAAGATTGGTGGAGGGGTTTAAACTTCTTGGCATTCGTTTGAAAATAATACATACCTGGAAAGATAACACCATGGAGAGTATAAAGAAGGCACAACAAAAACAACATGATATTAATGCCTGCCTGACAAATTTTTCTATTTAGTTAAAATGGTGACAAAGAATGTCATACTGTTGAACAAAGGGATGGCATAAACAAAAGTGACCTTTATGCCCATGGAAGAATGGCAAATTGCGTGACATTCCCTTGAACAGACTCTGCCTATGATTTGGAGAAACTCATTGAGGAAACCTTCGATGATAAGTTGCAACACCTGCAAAAGCCGAGATAAGAACCATGTTGTTTTGAATATCATTAAAGTAGCCAAGAATTGCTTAAATGAACAAAGCTTTGCAATTTTAGGGAAATAATAAAACCTGTGGAGCTAAAGGGGAGCTAAAGGCTTCCTATTCATCTTCCCTGCATTGCATTTTATATTTTTAGATTCTCATATATTTGAATGAATTTCAGGTATTTCTATGTCAAAGCTGACAGAAACAGGTCATCAAAACAGAAACAGAAACAAGGTACCAACAGGAGTTGAATGGGATGGTACCACAGTTGCCAACTTATGTGGTTCAGGAAACATCTACATTGCAAATAGTGAAATTCATGATGACTTTGATGCAACTTTGTATACAGAGCATCATAAAAGGCTCCAAGGGTGCCAGATAGCCCAGCACCAGTGTGCAGCATTTGCAATGCTTATTGGAAATAAAAGTGTCACCGAAAGTAGGCACAACCCAAACCTTTCTTAAACATCAAAGCATTGATTCAAATTTGAGGTTTTGTTGTCTCCTAAGGTAGGCTTAAGTAACTGACAGAGTAGAGTAGAGGTCTTTTTTCTTATTTTATCCATTTTTACTGCACACAATTTTTGTTTTTGTCACCTCCCTTATTGGTCAACTGTCCACATATTATCATTACAACATAGCAATCACAAGGAGTTGGTCTTATCAAACTACTCCACCAGAAACTAACCAATCAGAATTTTCTCATTAAAGTAACCTTTCTCTCACAGAGGCATAAGAGGTAAAAAGACTCATTACATTTCACAATATTCATGTACTTAGCTTGTTTGTAACATATAATAATAATAATAATAATAATAATAATAAGAATAATAATAATTGGCAAGAGATAGCACTTTCAACTTCAACTACTCACAAATTATCCTATAATCATCAACTCATCTAACTACATGTTGCATTTTAATAGTCAGTCATGAAAATCTTCAACATTTCAAAAGGTATGCACTTGCAAAGAAACCTTCATTGTATTACTACTATAAGAACATTTTGGTATCGGATATAAATAAACTGTTTGATGTGCATATGGCATGAAAGTGATGCATAAAAGAAACATGCAATTTACAATATCTTCTTCCTCCTGGCACCATATAGCTTTTCTGTGATATAGTATTCAAGATCACACGTTGGGGTCACTTTTGTCCTGGGTGAGTTTTCTTTTCTTGCTCTTCAAAAATGGTTCATGAAAAAGTGCATGCAATCTCTGTGCCTGCAATAAAGAGACATGCTTTAAGACAATTATAAAAAGGGACAGATTTTGTACCTACAATCGCATTCTAATTTCTATACTTTCAATGACTACCATGTTATTTCCTTAATATACAAAAAACAAATGTATGTAAAAAAAATATGAATGCAAGCTTGAAAAAAAAGTTGAAACCAAGCACTAGCTAGGAATATGAAAAGGATTCTCAAAACAAGTTTACGCCTGGCAGTAACTGATATATCAGAGCTACACAGACCTTCTGTGGCCCTAATCCCGGGCAAAAAGACAGCTCTTCTTCTGATGTGTTGATGATATTTTCAATAGACTGAAAGAACAGATGCCATCTATATGTTATATTGTTACCAAGGAAACAAATTGCCAAATTACCTTAACGTGCTCTAACACTTGACTTATACTTTGAAATTAAACAATCTTAGGACAACACTGAACATACTATAAAGAAAACCAATTTTAAAGCAATTTAGCTACGTACCCCAAAATTGGAAATCAGTGTCATTGCATCTGTCTTATTGACAGACTTCACTGTTGTCAAACAATCAGTAAGCTGAAACAAAGGTGAAAAATATACATATCAGCAGTCAAACAAACATCAAACAGCAGTTCCACAAAATACGGGATAAATCATACAACCAGCGAGAAATAACTTGAATATTTTCAAAAGAGTCAAGAACCAAGTAATGGTTTATAGGACACACTTTATTCTTTAGTGTGAAGTCAGTAGGTTTGTAATTTAAAAGACATGCATTTAAAATATGAATAGCAACATTAACCAGTATGTCAGAATTATAACAAATATCTAACATCTGGAGAAAAACTAAATTACACACAGATGAACAAGTCTAAGCCTGAGAAAGAACATGTACCTACCCTGGACATGTAATCCCCCTCTGTCTTTTCCATTATTGCATCTGGAGGTTTTACTTCATATGCTTTGTATGTCTCTAGATATCTACCAGCTTCCTCTGGGCTAAGGGAATGAAAAATTCAACACTTTGTCCTCACATCTCACAGTACATAACATATACAGTGGACAAATAAATGCAAAAAATGTAAACAAAAAATGGGAATAGCATTTAGGTAATTCAATATCTGTGTTCACCCATCATGAATTTCAATGAAATTTACCACCATCAATTATAGGCAGATCTTACCTGAAGGCCAGAAGGAGAGTGCAATTAGCCATCAAACAGATCTTTGCAAGTTCTTTCAATGAATGATGAGGATCTTTCTGTAAGACAATAAATAACAGGGATGTCAAAGAAAAGCTACTTTCAAATTTGGTAGCTTTAAACAAATGTCAAGTTTGAAATTGGGTCCAACTAAAAACTGAATGTTAGCATTTTTAAGATAAGCCAAATGTAAGGGTCCCTTTCTGCATTCCCATCAAACACAAGTTATTCTCTCTTATTTGTAAATGGTATATGCCAAATCTCATCACTTTTTCCACATTCTTTTCATCTGACCCATGTTATTAAGTTGAAGGTAAAGATTTGAACACGATGCATAAATGATTGTATTTAACTTACCACATCAACCTGGGTCAATAGAACTCTCAGCTCATACTGTTTCCCAAGCTGTTTTAACCTCTCATGAATGTAATCTGGATTCAAATTATGGTATTTCAAACTGTAAATAGATATATAAACCTACAGTATCTATACTTTAAAATATTCAGCTCTTTGTTTTCATGGCATAAAAAGCTAAATCACAACTTAAAGAAAACATTTTCTTATTCCCCACAACCACATCTTTGTATACCATTCAAGACTGTTGAGTGCCATTATGTTCTCTAAAATCAATATCAGATGCATTGTTTTCACATCACTGAAATCTAGACTTGCTACACCTAAATAGTGACAAAACTTACTGACTGACATTTGTTTTGACAGGTGCTTTCATAAATAAACTTGTCAAGGATGGCCTACTCTTTCAATATGTTCACTCAGTCAGTGGTGATAAACCAACCCAGGTGAATTTACACCTTGTCTGCAGCACCTTACCTTAAGTACAAGGCACAGGTGGTCTGGCCCATCTTGTAATCAGCTATGAGATCACCATCAAACTCCCAGGGCACATTTCTGACAAATTTTAAAATTGGATTTCCTCTCTGAAAGTCAATAAAGAGAAAATGACATGTGCACATTAAATCTGCTTCACTTGTGTAGAAATAAAGCATGCATGCAAACTTTACTTCTCAGCATGAAAGCAGAAAATATATAAATTTCCCTAAAACACCTACAACACACCCATTTTATTTCTTAACTTTGCCTGTCTGTTCAATACATTTTGATTCTCATCAAAAAGAAGAAAAATACCTGTCTAGGGTTAACAAGCAGACAATTGGCCTTGGTTTTTTTCACTGCTCCCTCTACAATGTCTTCTGTTCTGGAAACATATGAGCACAACAACTTGATTATCCACAGCAATGTTCAGTGGGGATTGAAACATTTTATGTGTACATACAATGTATATATTTCTAGGTTTGTATATAGAACGTAAAAAAAAATACCAAAGAATTCCATCCAACATAATCAAGATGGGTCAAAGAGCATGTTTTGCAAAGTTACCCAACAGTTGATGTGGTTGCATTCCCAGGTCTTTCTAAATTATTCTGAGCTGCAACATTGTCACTGATCCTAGTGTAGATCTTAACAGGTTTTGATACTGGAAGTTTTTGTACATTATGACTAGTAGCCTTTGATGCCTTTCCAACATCAGCAGTCCTTGAAGACACTGCAGGCAAAAGAGGCACATGGGTTCCGCTAGACGCTGAGGTTGTTGATTTCTTTTCTGTCCGCGGTACATTTGGCACTTTGATCCCAGCCCTACTGGAGCTCTGGGCTGGGAGAAGAGGTTTGTGTGTATTTCGTGATGCAGCCGTCATAAATTTTGCTTTTCTTGGAGATGCACCTGCTTTCATGCTGGCACTAGCACTTGAACTGTTCTCTCCTGTGTCACTCTTGGACTGCTGGACTTTTTCATTTTTAAATAAAGATCCAGGCTAAAAGGAAAAAACAATGTAACCAAAGTTTTAACTTGAAGAGGGTCAATCAAAGATGCAAAAAGATTTAACTTGACATGCCTGTAACCTTATAACTTCTCATTTATGCCTAGTTATGCCTAAGTAGCAAATTTATATTGTACAAAATACTACATCCAGTATTATTATATTGTGTCTTACTATTGTGAGCTACATGTATGAAGTAGTTAGCTTATATGTATTTTGGTATATGAATGATCTAAAGAAGTTATTCTTATTTAAGCTTATGTGCACAATTTATGTAATATTGTAGTTTAGAGAGCTTGTAAAATGTAACTGTACACATTTTAATACTCAATAAATTATTACTATTATTATTTACCTTGTTGTGAAAAATTTTGAAAGATAAAGAAATTTGATTATTTGTGGAATACCCCCACCCCCATACCTAAATTTAAAGGCAACCTATATGTTTCAGCATTTAAATTACAATATGTGGAGTTGTTTCCCCATTTCAACGAGAGAAGCATTAGTAAAATGGAAAATGTGACCGATTACTGGTAAACGATGTAGATATCATTGAACTTTAAACGGCTAGTCAAAGTTCCATACCTCAAATTTTTGAGTGCCTGTGCCTTCTAATTCATTCAGAGTGGGTATTTTAAATTTTCTTCGAGATTCAGACATTGCAAAATTTCAATTTCATGCGACTTCAGCCATCCTGCGTTTTTTGCTGCTCTTGCAAATGCTCGCACAGGAAATAACTACTAGATGGCGCTGTCTTCACAGAAACGCCCAACCGGTGTCTGCCAGTTAACTAAAATAAATAAGACAGTAGCTGTCGGTCAATCAATCGCATCGGCTTGGTTACGAAAAGAAACGCAACTATATTTTGCGAAACTCGATGAAAATCATTTTTCTGTTCATTATAGGCCTATGTTAACCTTAACGACGTTAGGCTACTGATAAATGTGTGTAATATAAAGAACTTGTCGCAAGAAGATCTACACGACCCGATAATTTGAACACAGTCGAGTTATTCCTTATTTACTAACCTTAGACGCTGGTCTATCTTAGTCGTTTGGCCACGGGATGAGCAAAGTCACTACTTTGCGAAAGCAGGTCTTCCCAGGACAAAACACTATGGAAAAAGTGTTACTGGTAAACCTCTGCCCCATTCACTTTGTCTTGCCATGAAAATTGGGGAGTTCTCTCAAAAGTTGTAATTTTCTGCCTCGGGATTCTGTTAACAGACAGAAAAAGAAGGTAGTTATTTTACATGTTAATTAAACTGAAGTTTTCCGACCCTGGCCCATCTCATAGCCTTGGTCTGCTTCTTGGATCTGTTGGCTGATCTGTACATGAAATAAGGAAAGAAACTAGAATACATGTAAAGACAAATTAAAACATCGGCTGAAACATGTGAAATAACCGTGTGAAGTCAGTTGCTTCGAACTCCCCAGACACATGGTGCATATTATCAAATGCACAACAAGAGAGGCCATGAGTAGCTAGAGCATGTGCAGCTTTTTGCTTCAAGCCACAATGAAAGCAAGAGAAATAGCGACCTAGAAACGTGCCAAAGGAATTCACAATGAGGCAGAAACAAAGGGATAGATAAAGTCGGTATAAAAAAACTTAATGCACAAGCCCAGAGTCGAAATAAAAAGCGAAATGTATCAAGTAAATAAATTTTGTTCCACAACACATGATGATGATGATTATAATGTATCATTTGAAGGTTATTAGACAACCAGGCGCAGAGTAATTCAATGCTGTTTGAGCGTTGGTTTTATTGAGCGATGATTTCTCACTCAATAAAGCGTGGAATCCAATATCCAATATCCTTAGGTCCGTTGATGTACGTAGGATGAGCATGAGATTCGAAGTCTCCTTGAAGAATTGGCTGAATTTTGCGCCCCTTGTGCTTGTTGGAGTGCAACGCAAGACCTCCTTCCCGCTGCCTTGTCCGTTGATGTGTGATCATAAGTTCATAATTTCGCGCTTTTATTCTTTTACTCACAAATAGTCGCATGGTGGCGTTAATGTCGTCAACATGTCGTCAACATGTCGTCATTCTGAATGTGTGGGATGGCGTTTAAGAATGATGAGCAAATTTGATTATTGAATTTCGTGCACATCTGTGCTTAGAATGTGTTTATCATTTTTATTATGTGGATCTTTCTAATTTTAAAAGAAACATTAATGCATTTACTTTGAAAGGGAACATGCAATCATGATGAGAACATCGAAGGGAAATTAGTCATACTTTCTCCCCCATAATTAACATTGGTGCAATATCCTTGAATCCTGTCGACATGAAGTTTAGTTACAATACCCCTAAACCATTTGACACACTTGAGAGCGTGCGTCCGAGCACTCATTCACATTGACTCGATTAAACTCGGAGATTTTTATGCAATCGAGATTCGTATCGAGGCTCTTGTTTTAAAAAGAAACAAAACAGAGTGAGAACATTCCCATAAATTAGACGGTGGAAGGGCGGTGTTTTAGAGGCACCTTCATTTCCTGTTTGACAGGTGATATATTCTATGATGTTAATTTCATTTGATCTTGTATTTCTCTTTTTCTTTGCTTTATTTTCCCATATAGGCCTATTAATTGCAAAAATATAAATAATTATTATAGGATTTTTAGGGAGTGGTTTATAATCTGTTAAGTTTTTCTCAGTCCATGATAGTCTTACTTTTACAGCAAACGTAATGGAGGAGCACTACGTATAACCTGTTTGCAAGTTTTGTTTCCTCCCTACCGCCCACCAGGCATTTTTCTCAGCCTACGGCGCTGGAGATGTAGATGCACTTTTTAAAGCATACTGGATAGAAGGAAACGCCTTATGTAAAATGAGTCAAAATAAATTGGAATATAAATTGTTTATACAAAGGATCAACTTTGCCTGTCCGTTGATTTTATACGATATATCGTATTAATGTCCTCTATACGTTCGGGTCTGATTTGTATTTGCTTTTTACATTATATTGGATTTTTCGTTTCAGATGTGTCATTGTTGAGAAAAGGAGAATGCGCGACATGGAAGCTGATTGTTCATCGATAATCGATCGATATAACGTAACCGAAACTGTTGAGATAGGCCTATTTACTGTCTTTCAGTCGACAGTTAGCCTAACTTTTGTCAGAATGGGCTCAATTGCATACTTGCAATGTATTTTTATACATAGGCCCCATCTGTTGGGTTATTGCCTTCTAAAAAGCACTTGAACTAATTAAAATGATAATAATTATTATTGTGCTTATATGCATGTACAGGCCCGTAGCCAGCAATTTCAAAAGGGGGGTTCTTTTTTTGAAAAAGTGGACCTTTTCCCATAAAAACGTCATGTACCTAGATCAAATTTTACCCAGAGTGGACCTTTTNAAAAGGGGGGTTTTTTTTTTGAAAAAAGGGGCCTTTTCCCAAAAAAACCGCATTTTCCCAAATCAAATTTTCCCCAGGGGGGCCTTTTAGCAAAAAGGGGCCAAAAGGGGGGGTTTTTTCGAACCCCCCGAACCCCCCCCCCCCCCCCCGGGTACGGGCCTGATGTATATACATGTACAAAGAGACTGACATCTAAATCTGCAATTCACCCGAGAGATGGGGATTTAGGGCGAAAGTGGGGATATCTTTATTACAACAAGGAATTAAATATCAAATTCTTTGCCTGGAGTAAGTCAAATTTTGGGTATTATGTATGGATAGGGGCATGGTTAGAAATGAGAGAGAGAGAGAGAGAGAGAGAGAGAGAGAGAGTTCATGTATTAAAGATGTGTCTTATATATGTATTAAAAAAGACAACGATAATAGCCAATTTATCAAATAAATTTTTAATGCAAAGTTCATTAAATACACCTTTGCCTTATGTGCATTTTACTACTCATTAGTTTGGTGTCTCGATCATCCAACAGTAAAGGCCTTCATTTAAATGACTATGTCCGTCACATTATACACGTTCACTACTGTAGTCTAGGAAAGAACACATCGTCTCGTAGAAATGGAAAAAATGACGACGCATCAGCATTTCAATGTAGCACTCGAAGTGTCCCGGAAAAAGGCTGAAGCTTCGCAGCAACCGGCCATTGTGTTCCTAGGAATCGTGCAGAGCAGCCATCTTGACGGATCGATCGATAGTAATATGTGTTAGCAGAAATCTCATTCCGCACGGAAAATTTGATATGCCGTTGCCAAGACAATAATGCAGCAGTCTTTATTAAGATCGAGTTAACCCAGGAATATTTGAGTCCTGATAAACCAGAGGTGCAACCATATGGGTGGCAGTATCTACTGATGCACCTTTCTACTTGGCTGTCGACGTAAACAGAAAGACACAAGCAGATGACAGGTATATGCAGCCTAAGATAAGGTGGAAAGCTGTAAAGCGCAAAGGCGGTATAAAGTGGAGTCCGCGGTTAAGCTGGTGGGTGTTTCTTCGTTTTTTTTCTAACCATTGTGTAAACATCCTACTTGGGCGTGTGTGTAGATTTATCTCAAACTCCGTCTTTTTGGTGTAGTTGTTTTATATGAAAAAGGAACATTTTGAAATATGTATTCATTGAGTCTACAGTAAATGTGAAATCTTATAGTCAATATGTCGACGTCTGTGGTGGACAATCACTGGGGATATTAAGTGTCTTTTCATGTTGAATATATTTTGACAAGATGACATTTTAGAAAGAGATGAAAACGAAATTCCTTTTGTAATTTTTTTATTTACTGCATTATTTTGTAACATTAGACGTTTGATATCAAGTTTTCAAGGTGGAAATTTGATTTTGCATTTAACTCTATCTTAGTTTGAATGTAGTTTATAATCTAGAAGAGAATTTCCTTCAATATATGATGTTTAAATGCTGCTGATCAAAATGATCGTGTCTTTTATACAGCACACTTTTCAATATAGTGGCATAAAATATGCATGGCTTTCAGCAGACTATACATTGTGTCACGATCGAGTTTGGCTAGGCAGACCTACAAATAAAAAAGTGGAAACTGTGCTACATTACTTCCATATCATCGTCGTTTACTTCAGATTACAATATTACAACAATTGCTCTGACAATAGCCTAGATTTTGGGTCAATTTCGCAATCAATGCAACTGCAGCTTTTAAATGATACGACCTTAAAAGGCCATTATCACCAAGTATCAATGCCGCTTAATTTTGTATCACTGCTAGCTCGTCGGTAGTTACATATTATTATGTTAAAAAAAAGGCCCGTTTCGTTTGAAAATACAAAAGAAGGCAGACATACGTTGGCCATTGTTCCAATGCTTTTACATTTGCTATTTTCCGCGCATTTGTTACGGCAACTGCGCCATGACAACGGCATGCCACTGGTAAATGATCTGATAATTTGCCAGTTTTAGTTGAAATTACAGCAAATATGTATATGTACGTCATTATGCCAACAATTTTACATTTATCACTTTATGTCCATTCGTTGCAGCAGATCCGACGTGACCAGGCAATTTCGCTGGGGTAACGCGCAGTCGGCCAGTCATTTGAGCAGAGCTTATTTCAGAGAATGACGCAAGAAGGGGCCTCTGACAAGGTACATTGAATAGAATTGTAGAATATTGTACACGTACTTTATTGATTGAAAAATCCGTGAAAAGGATATTTTCGATGTCCGTGTAATTTCTTCAGATTATAATCAATATTTTGACCTACGTTGACGTGAAAGTTTCAACTCCACCAGCATAGCCTATTCATGTTGAAGGTGCAGGTGTAGGGAAGCGTTATCTTAATGCAGTTCTGAACAAAAGCGTTAATGTTTCAGGATGCACGTACAAAGCCCTCATGTGTTCAAATTACAAATATTCTTTTCACTTTATCTTTAAAAACATCATACCCTTATATATATATATATATATCTATAAAGTGCATGTGGTCGATAACAACAGGCCTACTAAGAAGCGGAATTGGCGAAATGTTACATGTAGGAATACTCCATGAAAATAGAACTTTTTTTATGTTTTCCTTTAATGCTCAATATCGGCTTCATTTAATTTGTTCAATCAATTTGATTTCCGATACACGTTTCATTTTCATTATGTTTTCCTGTGCATTATCTCGACTCCCAATGATTTCTTTTTCTACAACTAGTCGTTATGCAGTTTATGCAAACCAAATGATAATTTATCATATTAATAAGGTATTTTAAGGTATTCAATTATAAACATTTTATATATTTTTTTTCCAAACCTGTACGTGCTTGTAAGTGCTAGGCGCACGCTTTTTTATTCATAAGATTTTTCTATGCCAAGTGATTTTCACTTCACTCGTATTCACTCGCGTTCAGGACCATACGTTTCTTCCGAACAAATGCTACTTAATGTCATAAAGTACAAATAATTGTGTACCTAACTTACCATAAAGGAAGTAATTGGAGATTATCATGAATAAATCTATAAAAGAATAGCTGGTACAACAAGATTCAAGGAGAATCGACAATCGATCATTCAACTCTGCATATACTGTGCGATGGTTTCTGTTTGATATTGAAGCTAGCGCATATTCTTTTCTCAATTTAATATTCCCTGTTTGTTGATTTTTAGAAGGACAATTTAAATGGAATAATCTGTGCAGCGTACGGCCCGTAGGCCTAATTTACTTGTCGGTTTTGTTTACTGCGTGTTTTCAAAAACAGTCTCTATTCTCAGAAATATTTTAACATAAAACAGAATGGCGACCTCTTTCGCGCTAAAAGTAGAGTTCATATTTCTTAACATGGTTTCTTGGCTTATTGTGCATTTGCCAAGTTCATTTGGGCATTGTGATTTATGAAATCAAATAACGTTTGCTTACATCAGATACGCGCTGCTCTGGAATGATTAAGATTGTGTCCGTTTCTCAGAAGTTCTGAACATCTCAGAAATACATAGCATCTTTTTTTTCACCTGACAAGGTCAAATCTAAGGAAAACCACAAAAATCTATTTTGCTCCTCGTATATCAGAACAATAGGCGTCATGAACATAATACAATACATGAAGCCTGCAAGGACAAGAGGTTGCGTGCAACGGTTAACTTAAATTTCGCTGCTTATTGGAACTCTCAGATTGCGTGCTGCACTAAATTAATTCCAGGACTCACTAAAATATGATATTTGATTACTTTTCTTAAAACCCCAATGCATCATTATTTGATGCTTAATTGCAGGGCCGGAAACCGAAAGATTCATACTATTGTGTTTTCAAAGGTTGTTTCTAAAAAAGTGTATAGTAATTAATTTAGTTCCGTAGTGGATAAAAAAAGTGTTTTCACGTTAACATATCGGCAACTGGCAAGGAAAAGAATTTTTTCTCCGAAGTTGATGCATCGTTTAATCTACAAACATTACCAGGAATATAGTTGAGTATGCAAATGATATACGCATGTAAAACTGAGGTTTATATGTTTCTAATTATTTCAGACTAGAAAGTTCCCTTAAAAAAAATATTAACCCTTTTTGCACCAATGGTATTTTAGGACGAATTTTTTACTTTGCCTTCCGTCAACATTCATGAATAGTTACATCTGAGGATTGAGAACAGCTTGTAAATCACAAACTTTTCTTGTGATCGATTTTTATTCCTCGTGATCACAACAAATCAGCCTTCGCACATTTTCCTCTCTGACGGCCGACCTTTATAAACGTCTCTCCCTAGAAAATAACAAATGCTTTAACCATCAATCAACGCGTCCCTCATTTATTTATTCCTTTCGAGCCGAAGCAGCTTTTTTACACGTGATTTAAACGCCCTTACTTTGCCTCCTTAATTCAAATGATTTCTATTAACTTAAAAATAGCATACTGGTTATTCTTTTTAGCCTTGCTGAAAAGCCAATCCCACAGAATGCGCTGATGCTAGCAAGATTGAATTTCACACTTTGTGTCATTAGCACCGATGCTAACATTGCCAAAATCGATTTATAGACTATGTGTAATCTTCCATGGGCACTCTGCGACAACCCACGCTCCGTATTTCAACACTTCTTGCTACACAGATAATATACTAATAGTCCTAGTATATTGCAGCGGTAGGCTTTGCTGAATAATGTATCACCCTGAAACCTGTTGTGAAGAAGTGGATTTTAGATAGTGCCGTTAATTGTGTTTATTAGTAGAATGTTAGATCACGATATCGCCCAGTGATTGTGTAGGTAGATCCCAGGCACATTCCCTTAATGTTGAATTAAGTTTAGTTAGTTACTAAAGGTTGTTTTTTTTATGAGATGCCTTGGTTATAGAATGCAAATGATTTCCCTCAGGCAGTTGTCGTCACATTTATATGTGATTATAATCGGACCAGTACTGACGTTTGGCCTGCTTCATGTATTTGTGTTTTGGCATTTTCGATGTCATTAAGGAGACACAATTTCGTAGTTTCCTTAAACAATTAAATTTTATTGAAATAAGAATGTTTGAAAATTTGTTAGGTTGTCCATAGTATGCTTCGATCAAAATGAATATATATATATATATAGCTTTCTAAGGAATATATGAACAACCTGAAAATTAAAAGTGATAATCAGAAACCGACATTAAGGAAGTCTATAGTAGTGTTATCATTATACTGCTCCCCAGGCTTATTAGGCCATACACAGTGCGGAAACTTTGTTGATAACATGTATTTGCCCGAAGCCCACATGTTAAGTATCCAAGTCAAAATGATTTGAACTACCCAAGACCTTAACTGACAGATGTTTGCCTTCAAATATTGATTTTGTGTCGGTTTTGCGGTTGGTGTGTTTTGCAAAAACACTGTAGGTCTCCGCGGGCTTAAGGGAAGATAATTGAAGAAATCTCAGTAATGCTTTACATCGTATCAATGACTCTTTTATCATTTTTTCATTGAACCCATATCTTCCTGCACTGAATTTGATTGGATTCGTGATACGCGTCTAGGAGGCACTGGGGGCTTTGTTTCCGAATATGTCAATTATTTGACGAGGCTAATTAAGTAAACAGTATCGATCCGACCCCAAGCAAAGTTTTAATATATATATGGTCCACGTTAAATGCACTCGTACAAATTTCCAAAACCTAACACACAGAGAGAGAGAGAGAGAGAGAGAGAGAGAGAGAGAGAGAGAGACGCTTCCCTTCATTTACCCATGAAAATACCCTGCCTGCATGGTGATAAAATTTATTGACATTTTTGACTTATTACAATTCTAAAAAAGAGAAACTTTCCCTTAACTGCAGCAGAGCACTGTCGTAAACTCGATTAAGTCAGCAGGATGCATTCTGTGCAATTTGTGCATGTCACATCGTTTATAAAGCAGGGCTATCAAATGTCATTTTTAAAAATTAAATTTGTTCAACAAAGTATATTTCTTGTATAAACAGTACATTATATTAACAGTATACTTTGTTCAGCAAAGGATATTTCTTGTATAAACAGTATATTGTTCTAAATGCATTACTTGGCATTTAATTTTCCATGGCAATAGCTTGTTAAGAGTAAAGCTGTCTCGTATCAAATGGCAATTTTATTATTCCAACAATTTACAGCTAATGCTGTTGTTCCAAGGGTTGTTTCAGAACTATGGTTTTGTTAAGTTAGGTTTCATATACACATGTACCAGGTGGCAAATAACAAATCTATTCCCTTTTAGTGTCAATGTTGATGTTCCAAAGACTGATTCAGAACAATAGTTTTCTTAAATGTTGTAACATATACCAGGTAGTAAATAATATATATGTTCTCTTTCATTGTCACTTTTATCCAAAATGACAGTTTCTTCAAAGGATTGTTTCTGATTCTTTTCCTGCTAAAATTTTGATAACTTAAATTATCATTTAATTGATTTGATTTTTTGTACCCTTTTTTAGAACGATGGTTACATCAAGAAGATGCTTAAATTTGTCTCAGGATGCGACTGGTGTGAACGCTGCTGCGACTGCTGTCTCCCACAGACCCCCAACGTCAAAGTTACCAAACAGGACATCCAGTACGTCACCGTCAGAAGACCCATTTCAAAATCACTATCCGAAGACAGTAATGATGAAGACAGCACGGGGAGCCTCGGCAGTCTAAGAGAACGAGTCGGGATAGAATTGGAAAGGGAAAGGGAAAAGGAAAGGGAGAGGGACAAATTCCGGACGGAATCTGTGAGTTCGAGTAAATCTCGGCATGATTCGTCAAGCTCTGGGTATGGTTCAGAGTACTCTGTGCCAAGGAGGTCCAGTGTTACGCCTGTGATTGAGATGAAACCTATAGAATTCTGGGCAGCCAGAGAAAATGTCCAGCCCCGCTCTCCTCGAACTAAAATGCCCAGCACTAGTGAATTTATGGAGAGCTTCAATAAAGATCTTTACGAAGTCGTTGAAAACCAGAGCGAAGAAAGTTTAACAGATGAAGAGAAACTCACTCGGTTTCAATTAGGACAGATTCGCTTTAGCCTACAGTATGAAATACCCACAAACACCCTCATGGTGAAACTCATAGAAGCCAAGGAATTGCCCCCGCCATACTTTTTGGACGAATCCAAAATCGACATGGCGCGTTCTAATCCGTATTGCAAAATCTGTTTGCTGCCAGACACAAAGAACTCCCAACAGTCGTCCGTGCAAAGGAAAACCCAGAATCCAGTGTGGGAAGAAGTATTTTCGTTTGAAATTCCATACAAAGAACTCCAGAACAGGACGCTACAGATCCTGTTAAAAGATTTTGATAAATATTCACGTCACTGTATTGTGGGTCAAATGCAACTGCCCCTGTGTAACACAAATCTCGTGAAAGGCCTTCACATGTGGAAACCCTTGGTGCCTGGGCCTAAGGTGCGTACACCTATATCACGCTTGTAAGACTCGTATCACTTTCCTTATTTCAATATTTCCTTATATTCAGGGCCAAATTATTTTGCGAGATCTTTTTCCTTATATCTTATGGAGGAATGCACCTCAAAACTGTATCCCTCTTGAAAGCAGATCAAGGGCGCTCCATGCCTTTTGGTAGACAAAAGTGCCCTTACCAAAAAAAAAAAAAGCAAAAATGCAAAGACCTTGAAATTCAAACTGTAAAATATCTCATACTGCAAGGTTATTTATTACCTTTGCAGCAGAGGCAAAAGCTGGATTGATTTTTGCTCCCCCTCCATCCCTTTTGCATTATGTTTACTGTGATTAGATGACTTGGTCATTAAGCGAAACAGCGGTATTGAATCCACTTTATTCAGAAATAGGCCTATTCCATCCTGGGTATTGGCAATTTTACCGTAAAAATGAAATATTGTCCAAGTTCAGACGTTTCTGACAACCTAACATTGACGTGTATAAAAGGCCAAATTAAAGTAATGATACATTAGGCATATAATAACAAGTTGTGTAATCTGTTTTCTTTTAAGAGTCAGAACCCATTTCCAGGAAATCGATTAAGACTAGAAAACGTTAATTTTCCGATTTTATAACATTGAATGCCAGGCATAAATCATTAGCAGATGCGGGGGTGGACTGAGTAGTTTTTTCAAAAGGAAATGGCGGATTCAGTCAAGGCGCCCCTTTCCAAAAAGTGAAGAAAAGACTCTCACGACTGCCAGTAGAAAAAATTGTTTATGTAGACAGTGGTCAAAAAGGACTAGAAGTACTAAGTAATTTTTAAAAAGTATCTTGACTTTAGCTTGGGAAGTGGGTAAGTGGGAAAATATGAAAGAGAGAATGAAAACATAGCAGGGACCCGTTTTCTGAATTAAACTATTATATTGGAATGTTTTTAAAAAGTTAGATAACACTCTGCACAATTGATTGGCAATTGTTCTTTAATTTCCGGAAGTGAAGGTTTTAGATGCGTTCAGTTTCCCTAAATATGAAGCTAATAAGAACGGTATCACTATATCATATATGTATATGTATAGGCTATACATGTATTAGCCACTCTATAATATATGTTTCCATTTGCAGGAACACTTGGAACTAGGAGAAATTCTTATTTCTCTAACGTATCTACCAAGTGCTGGCAGACTGAACGTGGATATAATTAAAGCCAAACAACTTATACAGACTGATCTCGTCGGAGGTTCAGGTATGGTTTCGATTTATTGGAATGAGGTTTTAGTCGTATCTTTAGAGTACCTTCGCTGTTTCATTCAAAATTAATCAGACTGTATTGTGTGGTGAACTGGAAACGTAGGTAATAACATTATTTCTGACATATTTGATTGAATAACATGCTGTCTTCATGACACCGTCATCCAATGAAGGAAAATGAAATGTTCACAAACTAATCAATCTTGTGTCATTGGGAGTTGCAGGAGTTACACAATTGCTGTACTCTTTAGCTTCACATTGCTGCACTAATACCCTATTTTCAGATCCGTTCGTGAAAATCAGCTTACTGCATTACGACAAGCTAATTAAAACGAAGAAAACAACTGTCAAGAAAAACACTATAGATCCTGTTTTCAACGAGAGTTTCAGCTTCAACGTGACACCCCAACAGCTAGAGAACACAAACCTGGTCGTTTCGGTTTGGGACTATAACTCCAAGAGTAAGGATGATTTTGTAGGCAGGGTCGTCATAGGCAAACATGCATCTGGCCCAGAACAGGTGATGCATTGGAACCGGATGATCCAGTCTCACCGCTCTACCGTCGCTAGTTGGCATGCCTTGAAGACAAGGGAAGAGTGTGACCAGCTGGCGCCGGCTTCTATCGCAGTACCATGAACACAAGGCCCCCCAGTTCAGCGTTCTTTTAATCGCTGTGAGAAATAGTCCCTTGATATTGTTTATTCCGCGACTGAGTTATACTTATGTATTTCTCTCATACAGACTACCACTCATAGTTGACGGTATCAATAATATATATGTATAGAGAGTAGGTCTATGTGGCGAGTTCGAATTGTGCGTAAAGCAGCGCGCACACAAAAATATTTCATCTCTCGAGATGTGGGTCGATTTGTCTCAATGTAGACGTGTGCACGGTCTAGATCTTACAAGTATCACATATACATAAGTGCAAAATACCATTGAGTCACACATTAAAGACCATGCACTATAACGCCATATCATATGTTTCATTATGTTTCAAATGCAAGCTTGCATAGCATAAAAACATCGAGTTTACAATAGACATCGTCTACCAGATTGATGGACCCCCTCTCACAGGCCTAAGAAGCAACCTAAGATATGAGGTACCTACTCGAGGCATTGATTCGTTGGTCAGCCTTGCCTTGGACATAATAACGTTATTATGTCCAAGGCCTTGCCAAATATAAGTGTTACCTGTAGTGCTGTGCCACTAATATCTGTTATACAAGGCGACTAGCAGTTTTCCTGAAACTAATTAGTGCGAACGGATTATCCAGATTAGCCCACATGCAACAACAGTGAAGTGCGTGTGAATGTAACCTTAAATACGTGTATAATTGCCAAGCGCATGAAAAACGAAGAAAAAGTAAGGGAGTTCTCTCGAATAATCGTAACTTATTAACCTCTGAAACTTTCTGTATATCAGATTTTTCTTTGCAAGTTAGAGAGAACTGCCCAATTGTACAAATAATTTTCCACTGCATTCAGGAAAATGGCACATCACCGCCACAAAACATATAATTAATTTGACGAATTAATCTGGAGTAAATATCCTATGTACACGAGAACCATCTTGCCAACAAGTAAAAATGCATACTGTTAAGTGGATGCTACATGTATTTCCCTAGGGTTGTGAAGGTGTTCTTGATAGGATAACAGATTTCATTTAGTTTATGGCACGAAGGCGTATGATTAAGTTTTCAACGATCACATATGTAGCAGTGCTGCATCTCTGTCACTTATGTTAAAAGCTATATGTGAATATGACGAAGGGGGATATTGTCAGAAATGTTATAGAGCCACATTCAAGCTCAATCACACACACACTCAAACGGGCAATGGCACACACTACATCATCAAAGAATTGTCAAGTCAGTCCGTTTGGTTTTCAAAGCTGTTGAAGTACACACAAATAAGTAGTCCAATGATAAACAGCAAGTTTACATTAGCTTTACAAGTAATGGTTTAAATGATGGAAGTTCATTGTAGCCAAGACAACTTGGCCGACGATTCCTCATCGACCGTAGAACTTTCCGACTTCATCTGCAATTGAATTGTTCGGATTGAATTGTGCATTGAGTGTATTACTATTAGGTATAAGCAAATGAGTATTATATATAATGATTATATAACCATCACGGTTTATAGTAGTAGTAGTATTCTATTCAACATGTAATTACTACTGCTAATATCAACAGTAGTAGTAGTAGTAGTAGTAGTAAAAATATTCCATACAATATATTACGTGCTTAATACTGTGATTAGACATAAAAGTAAATATGTACAGTGAAACGGACTGTTTACTGATCTGCAAAATCAAATAAGGAGTGTGAGATATTTGCATGAGTACATTATAAATACTGATATCAATTATTCCTCTGTATGTATGATATTGTGTGAACATTGTTAAACGTCACATGAGGCAAAAATAATAATAAAAAAATAACCACGGCTAACGAAGGAGTATAATTGTTTTATTTCTTCATTGGATATGCTTTATCCACATGCTTAATAATTTTTCACTCCTTTTCATTCCCATAGCAATGGGCAACGCAAATGTTTTTAATATTCTGAGTTAACTACAATTTAATACCTAGATTATCAGCATGCCTTGACCGTTTCTAGTAACTTCATAGTTAGTTCCAAATATTTCTGAGTCCCAAAATAACATCCACTTCAGACGTTCATGGTCACTGAGTTTCAATTGAATTATACGTTTTAACCGGGATGCAATTAGGTTTCAGGGTGAAAGAAGGCCTGATTATTGTTTTGTTTTTATTATCCCTGTGGGGCAAAATTGATAAAGATAATTCAGTGCTAAACCTATTATACGATCGGTAGACGACACGATCTGAGCGTTAAACGTGATTTTAAAAATTGCACAATCTTGTTAGTCGCCTGATTGTACGAATTAATATAATCGGTTTGGCATTTATATTATATTTTGATAAATCTGTAAACAAAAGCAGGACAAATCTTATGTAACGCTTCACTAGCTGACTGCTATGACGGTCCTTGGCTTGCTTGATACTGATCTTGAATTCAGTAAAAAGAAAAAAATACTAGAAACCACTAGCATCTAGTTGCCCTTTGCACCGGAATCACATTTAGATGCCCGGGTTCGGATATCAGTCGATGCGCCGTACCGTGCAATTAATGGGGGAGTTCCGGCTCACTAGGCCTTTACGTCGAATACCATTTCTTGACACCTGGCCTCTTTCTGAAATTGACAAATACCTCTTTCATTTTTGTGGATAAACTTTGGTAAATATTGTGTAGCTTTGAAGATTATGTAGGCCTAATAATAGGCCTACTGATGTCGCTTTTTTTCTGTTTTTAATAAGGATGTAGGCTGAAACCGCCTTTTTCTTTAGGAAAGAATCTACGTCCTTCTTTTTCGCTTATTCATTTTAGATTAAATTTGTCTAAGTCGCCTTTAAAAACTTTAGAGCCATATCTAAATAGACAAAAGAAAAGTCACCTTTTATTTTAAGTATTCGTAACAAGTAGAAGGCACATTTGCTTTGCAAAAGACCTTGCAATAGTCACGATCCAACTTAAAATTAAATGCCTCGGATGTCTATCAAGGACAACGTGACATACAGTAATGTCACCTGGATATCTTGCGTAATTAAATGTGCAAAAATGCAACTTAAACGTCACCTTCGCCCCATATTCAGACGGTTTATATGTAAACGCAACTTTAACGTCACCTTCACCCCATATTCAGACGGTTTTATGTAAATAAAACTCCATTTTTACTATTAATGCTTCTCTGTCCTTCATTAACTACTTGTTAACAGAACGTAGAGATTTAATAGGCGCACTGCTTCGACCACGTTCGCATCATGAAAGTCAACGGCCTGAAAGTAGCGTTTTTGTTTATTCTTTCTCTCGATGGACTGTGTGCACACTTCACGTATTTGACGCAACATCAAGTGAGTTATACCAAGACGCTGCTGTCACGCTTAATGATGAACACGGTGGACACAAAAAACGGGGAAACATTCCATCCGATTATCGCAGGCTCTGTGCGACTTGGTTTCCACGATTGTGTGGGTGGGTGTGACGGTTGTATTAATCTGAACAACCCAGATAACGCTGGTTTGGATACTACTTTCAATGCACTGAATGATTTATATGCCAGAGAGCGAATTGATCAGATAATGTCTAGAGCTGATTTTTTTGCCTT